AACTATATGTGGGTTTATTGTCTGAAAAGTAGGTGGAATTGTGTTGTGGTGCATGAGTGTGAATGTAGAGTTTACAGTGCTCCCTTACCTGCCACACCCTCCTGTGACCTGACCCAAACCTACCTACTATTTTGCGCCCTCTTTGCGTTTACTTCCACCTATTCATGTAAAATCCTGTCTCGCCTTGTTCTATAAATCACCAATTGCTATTCCTCACTGAATACTTGATAGCCTATTCTTTATCGTGCTAGGAGAGTTGGACCGTCCTCACTCAACTTGGCGGTTAATTGGAAACCAAAACTCACACCCAACAACCACCATAGGTGAATACTTACAATGCAACCTGTAGATTGTCCAGCTCGATGTGACGTCCTGGCGTAGATCCACCTCCGTTTCTTCACGATATATAATGTATCCTATTCACTGTATTTCTTTCACTGGTCACACATTTGCTTCACTTTGTTTCTTGGGTGACACATGGCAAGGTCACCTGGAGCACACTAGTCCTGCCCACTCTGAATGCGCCACCAAGTATCACTTTCTAGTTCACTTATAAAATTGTGGCTCTCCCCACACTTATGTGGCTGAGGCAAATTGTAAATCGCTTCAAGGATTGTTCACTACCCTGACACAGCGACCCTTGCAGTACACTTAGGTAGTCCTCAAAAAAAAAAACATTCGTGGAGCACGGAAGGCGTGACTCGCGCACGCGGTGTCCCTACTGTGTGTACTCACCTAATTGTACTCGCCTAATTGTGGTTGCAGGTGTTGAGACTCAGCTCCTGGCCCCGCCACTTCATTGAGTGCTACTAAGACCTCTCTCTCTCCTTGCTCCATGAGCTTTATCATACCTCGTGTTAAAGCCATGTATGGTTCCTGCCTCCACTACCTCACTTGCTAGGGTATTCCACTTCCTGACTACTCTATGACTGAAGAAATACTTCCTAACATCCCTTTGACTCATCTGGGTCTTCAACTTCCAATTGTGACCCCTTGTTTCTGTGTCCCCTTTCTGGAACATCCTCTCTCTGTCCACCTTGTCTGTTTCATGCAGTATTTTGCATGTCGTTATGATGTCTCCCCCCTAACCCTCCTGTCCTCCAGTGTTGTCAGGTAGATTTTCCTTATCTTTCTTCGTAGGACATTCTCCTTAGCTCTGGGGATAACCTTGTCGCAAACCTTTTCACTTTCTCTAATTTCTAGACGTGCTTGATCAAGTGTGGATTCCGAACAGGTGCTGCATACTTCAGTACGGGCCTGACATACACGGTGTACAGTGTCTTGAGTGATTCCTTACTAGGGCATTGGAATGCTGTTCTCAGGTTTGCCAAGCGCCATTATGCTGCAGCAGTTATCTGGTTTTCGTGTGCTTCCGGAGACGTGCTCGGTGTTACACTCACCCCAAGATCTTTCTCTTTGAGCGAGGTTTGCAATCTTTGGCCACCTAGCCTATACTCCGTCTGCCGTCTTCTTTGCCCTTCCGCGATCTTCATAACTTTGCACTTAGTGGGGTTAAATTCGAGAAGCCAGTTGCTGGTCCAGGTGTCCAGCCTGTCCAGGTCTCTTTGAAGTCCTGCATGATCCTCATCTGATTTAATTCTCCTCATTAACTTCACATCATCTGCGAACAGGGACACTTCCGAGTCTAACCCTTCCATCATGTCATTCACATATACCAAAAATAGCACTGATCCCAGGACTGACCCCTGTGGGACTCCGCTCGTCACAGGTGCCCACTGTGATACCTAATGTACCATGACTCGTAGTTGCCTCCTTGTCAGGTATTCTCTGATCCATTGCAGTGCCTTTCCTGTTATACGTGTCTGATCCTCTAGCTTCTGCATTAATCTCTTGTGAGGAACTGTGTTGAAGGCCTTCTTGCAGTCCAAGAAGATACAATCAACCCACCCCTCTCTCTCGTGTCTTACTTCTGTTACTTTATCATAAAACTCCAGAAGGTTTGTGACACAGGATTTGCCTTCCATAAATCGGTGCTGGTTGGCGTTTATACTCTTGTTCCGTTCCAGGTGCTCCACCACTCTCCTCCTGATAATATTCTACGTGACTTTGCATACTATACACGTCAGTGACACTGGTCTATAGTTTAGTACCTCTTTTCTGTCTCCTTTTTTAAAAATGGGAACTACATTTGCCGTCTTCCATACCTCAGGTAGTTGCCCAGTTTCAAGGGATGTGTTGAAGATTGTGGTTAGTGGCACACACATAGCATTTCTGCTCCTCCTCTAAGGGCCCACGGGGAGATGTTGTCCGGTTCCATTGCCTTTGAGGTATCAAGGTCCCTTAGCAGCTTCTTCACCGCCTCCTCAGTTGTCATCCAACACTTGTTGGTATATTCCTTGTTGGTGTCCCCCTCTGTTATGTTCCCCCAGAGGCGTGGGTGTAGTAGTAGTAGTAGTAGCTGTACCTTGGAATTCAGTTATAGTGCATACAATGTCTAATAACATCACCTGACAACTGTGTAGTAATGACTGCCAAAGATCACTTCAGCTACAACTCAGAAGAAACCGAAGCTCTCGTTCTTTTCTACACACCTGTGTTGCTACGACAAATGACAAACAGAATTTAAACAACGTTTATATAAATCTTCCTCGGTGAAAAGTTCGACACCTTCCTACTTTATCAAGTTGATGTGGCTGTTCATATGTATAACATAGGCGTTATGTCCTCTTCAGTATGAGAGACGTATTATGCTTTTTATTAATTAGTCCAGGTGTATAGGAACACATCCTGGAAGGGAACTTTATCTTAATATTCCTTTTCATATGCGACTATAATACAAGTCTCAACCATGTTAAGTTTGTGCTATAGATCAGTGATGTTGAACATTCTAGGTGCCATGAGGAGGATATCATCAATATATATGAGCCACGTCACATTGGAATAGAGAGAGCAAATTTTTCCACAGATTTCAATTTACATACACTCCAATATAATGAACAAATTCACTGGCAGAAAGACAAAGGTGGAATGTAGATCATAAGTATTGTGACGTCTGACTCAGGCTGGAGCTTTAAGTCTGACTTTAAGCAACTCAATCCTACGAGATGTTAGGTATGGAATAAAATGTAGATCTATCTTACATATCTACATCAGCTTCATCAGTGAATTCTGTCCTTCTTCCACTCGTTTACATCCAGCTCGGGTGGTCCACAAATTGTTTACTCCGGTTCTAATGGTCCACAAATTGTTTACTTAGGTTCCAATCGTCCACACGTGGTTTACCCCAGCTTCAGTGGCCCACAGTATTTACTCAAGTACTCGTGGTTCACACGGAATTTACCCAAACTAAAATGGCCCACACGTAGTGTACCCCAGTTCCAGTGGTCTACAAGTGCTTTGACTCAGCTCCAGTGGCTCACACGTGGTTTACTCCGGCTACAGTAGTCCACACATGGTTTACCATAGTTCGATAGTTCAACACGTGGGTTAATCCTACTCCAGAGGTCCACGAATAGTTCAATGAAAATCCAGTGGTCCAAAACTACTTTACCAAAACGCCAGTGGTCTACACGTGGTTTACCACAGCTCAAGTACTCCATATACGGTTTATATCAGCTCAAGTAATACAAAATGATTTACGCCAGCTCCAGTAGCCCTCACGGGTTATATCCCAGGTCCATTAGTCCAAATGGAGTGGTCCACACGAGGTTTGTCTCAGGTCCAGTGGTCCACACAAGGTTTATCTCCGCTCCAATGACCCAAACTAGGTTTATCTCAGCTCCAATGGTCCAAACGAGGTTTATCTCAGCTCCAATGGTCCAAACGAGGTTTATCTAAGCTCTAGTGGTTCACATAGGGTTTATCCCAGCTCCAATGGTCCACAAAGGATTTATCCGAGCTCTAGTGGTCCACACGAGGTTTATCCAAGCTAAAGTGGTCCACAAAGGGGTTTATCTCAGCTCCCGTGGTCCACAAAGGGGTTTATCTCAGCTCCCGTGGTCCACAAAGGGGTTTATCTCAGCTCCCGTGGTCCACAAAGGGTGTATTTTTGCTCCAGTGTCCCAAACGGTGTTTAACCCAGCTCCAGTAGTCCACACGGGGTTTATCCCAGCTCCAGTGGTCCATACAAGGTTCATTGCAGCTCCAGTGGTCCACACCAGGTTCATCGCAGGTCCAGTGGTCCACACCAGGTTCGTCGCAGGTCCAGTGGTCCACACCAGGTTCATCGCAGGTCCAGTGGTCCACACCAGGTTCATCGCACAGCCAGTGGTTCATACCAGGTTCATCGCAGGTCCGGTGGTCCACACCAGGTTCATCGCAGGTCCGGTGGTCCACACCAGGTTTATCGCAGGTCCAGTGGTCCACACCAGGTTCATCGCAGGTCCAGTGGTCCACACCAGGTTCATCGCAGGTCCAGTGGTCCACACCAGGTTCATCGCAGGTCCAGTGGTCCACACCAGGTCATCGCAGCTCCAGTGGTCCACACCAGATTCATCGCAGGTCCAGTGGTCCACACCAGGTCATCGCAGGTCCAGTGGTCCACACCAGGTTCATCGCAGGTCCAGTGGTCCACACCAGGTTCATCGCAGGTCCAGTGGTCCACACCAGGTCATCGCAGGTCCAGTGGTCCACACCAGGTCATCGCAGGTCCAGTGGTCCACACCAGGTCATCGCAGGTCCAGTGGTCCACACCAGGTCATCGCAGGTCCAGTGGTCCACACTGAGTGTACTGTTTCAGGGGAAGAAGTAAATAAAATTGGGGTGAACGTCTCTAGTTTCACAATTTGTGTGTCAGGTGCAGGTGTAGGTGCAGGTGTAGGTGCAGGTGTAGGTGCAGGTGTAGGTGCAGGTGTAGGTGCTGGTGTAGGTGCAGGTGCAGGTGTAGGTGCTGGTGTAGGTGCAGGTGTAAGTGCAGGTGTAGGTGCAGGTGTAAGTGCAGGTGTAGGTGCAGGTGTAAGTGCAGGTGTAGGTGCAGGTGTAAGTGCAGGTGTAGGTGCAGGTGTAAGTGCAGGTGTAGGTGCAGGTGTAAGTGCAGGTGTAGGTGCAGGTGTAAGTGCAGGTGTAGGTGCAGGTGTAAGTGCAGGTGTAGGTGCAGGTGTAGGTGCAGGTGTAGGTGCAGGTGTAAGTGCAGGTGTAGGTGCAGGTGTAAGTGCAGGTGTAAGTGCAGGTGTAGGTGCAGGTGTAAGTGCAGGTGTAGGTGCTGGTGTAAGTGCAAGTGTAGGTGCAGGTGTAAGTGCAGGTGTAGGTGCAGGTGTAAGTGCAGGTTGTAGGTGCTGGTGTAAGTGCAAGTGTAGGTGCAGGTGTAAGTGCAGGTGTAGGTGCAGGTGTAGGTGCAGGTGTAAGTGCAAGTGTAGGTGCAGGTGTAAGTGCAGGTGTAGGTGCTGGTGTAGGTGCAGGTGTAGGTGCTGGTGTAGGTGCAGGTATAAGTGCAGGTGTAGGTGCTGGTGTAGGTGCTGGTGCAGGTGTAGGTGCTGGTGTAGGTGCAGGAGTAGGTGCAGGTGTAGGTGCAGGTGTAGGTGCAGGTGTAGGTGCAGGTGCAGGTGTAGGGGCTGGTTTAGGTGCAGGTGCTGGTGTAGGTGCCGGTGCTGGTGTAGGTGCAGGTGCTGGTGCAGGTGCAGGTGTAGATGCTGGTGTAGGTGCTGGTGCAGGTGTAGGTGCAGGTGTAAGTGCAGGTGTAGGTGCAGGTGTAAGTGCAGGTGTAGGTGCTGGTGTAGGTGTAGGTGCAGGTGTAAGTGCAGGTATAAGTGCAGGTGTAGGTGCTGATGTAGGTGCTGGTGTAGGTGTAGGTGCAGGTGTAGGTGCTGGTGTAGGTGCAGGTGTAGGTGCTGGTGTAGGTGCTGTTGTAGGTGCTGGTGTAGGTGCTGGTGTAGGTGCTGGTGTAGGTGCAGGTGCTGGTGTAGGTGCTGGTGCAGGTGTAGGTGCAGGAGTAGGTGCAGGTGTAGGTGCTGGTGTAGGTGCTGGTGTAGGTGCAGGTGTAGGTGCTGGTGTAGGTTCTGTTGTAGGTGCTGGTGTAGGTGCAGGTGCTGGTGCAGGTGTAGGTGCAGGTGTAGGTGCAGGTGTAGGTCCAGGTGTAGGTGCTGGTGTAGGTGCAGGTGTAGGTGCTGGTGTAGGTGCTGGTGTAGGTGCTGGAGTAGGTGCAGGTGTAGGTGCAAGTGTAGGTGCTGTTCCAGGTGTAGTTGCTGGTGTAGGTGCAGGTATAGGTGTAGGTGCTGGTGTAGGTGCAGGTGGTGTAGGTGCTGGTGTAGATGCTGGTGTAGGTGCAGGTGTAGGTGTAGGTACAGGTGCTGGTGTAGGGGCAGGTGCTGTTGCAGGTGTAGGTGCTGGTGTAGGTGCTGGTGTAGGTGCAGGTGCTGGTGTAGGTGTAGCTGCTGTTGCAGGTGTTGGTGATGGTGCAGCAAGTGCTGGTGTAGGTGCAGGTGTAAGTGTAGGTGCTGGTGTAGGTGGTGTAGGTGCTGGTGTAGGTACTTGTGCATGTGTAGGTGCTGGTGTAGATGCTGGTGTAGATCTGGTGTAGGTGCTGGTGTAGGTGCTGGTGTAGGTGCTGGTGTAAGTGTAGATGCAGGTGTAGGTGCAGGTATAGGTGCTGGTGTAGGTGCTGGTATAGATGCTGGTGCAGGTGTAGGTGCTGGCATAGGTGTAAGTGCTGGTATATGTTCTGATGTAGGTGCTTTTGTAGGTGCTGGTGTAGGTGCTGGTGTGGGTGCTGGTGTAAGTGCTGGTGTAGGTGCTGGTGTAGGTGCTGGTGTAGGTGCTGGTGTAGATGCTGGTGTAGGTGCTGGTGTAGGTGCTGGTGTAGATGCTGGTGTAGATGCTGGTGTAGATGCTGGTGTAGGTGCTGGTGTAGATGCTGGTGTAGATGCTGGTGTAGGTGCTGGTGTAGATGCTGGTGTAGATGCTGGTGTAGGTGCTGGTGTAGGTGCTGGTCTAGGTGCTGGTGTAGATGCTGGTGTAGATGCTGGTGTAGATGCTGGTGTAGATGCTGGTGTAGATGCTGGTGTAGGTGCTGGTGTAGATGCTGGTTTTAGATGCTGGTGTAGATGCTGGTGTAGAAAGCTGGAGTAGATGCTGGTGTAGGTGCTGGTGTTAGATGCTGGTGTAGATGCTGGTGTAGGTGCTGGTGTAGATGCTGGTGTAGATGCTGGTGTAGATGCTGGTGTAGATGCTGGTGTAGGTGCTGGTGTAGATGCTGGTGTAGATGCTGGTGTAGATGCTGGTGTAGATGCTGGTGTAGATGCTGGTGTAGATGCTGGGGTAGTTTCTGGTTTTAGATGCTGGTGTAGATGCTGGTGTAGATGCTGGTGTAGATGCTGGTGTAGATGCTGGTGTAGATTCTGGTGTAGGTGCTGGTGTAGGTGCTGGTGTAGGTGCTGGTGTAGGTGCTGGTGTAGGTGCTGGTGTAGATGCTGGTGTAGATGCTGGTGTAGATTCTGGTGTAGATGCTGGTGTAGATTCTGGTGTAGATGCTGGTGTAGATGCTGGTGTAGGTGCTGGTGTAGGTGCTGGTGTAGATGCTGGTGTAGATGCTGGTGTAGATTCTGGTGTAGATGCTGGTGTAGATTCTGGTGTAGATGCTGGTGTAGATGCTGGTGTAGGTGCTGGTGTAGGTGCTGGTGTAGGTGCTGGTGTAGGTGCTGGTGTAGGTGCTGGTGTAGATGCTGGTGTAGATGCTGGTGTAGATTCTGGTGTAGATGCTGGTGTAGATGCTGGTGTAGGTGCTGGTGTAGGTGCTGGTGTAGGTGCTGGTGTAGATGCTGGTGTAGATTCTGGTGTAGATGCTGGTGTAGATTCTGGTGTAGATGCTGGTGTAGATGCTGGTGTAGGTGCTGGTGTAGGTGCTGGTGTAGATGCTGGTGTAGATGCTGGTGTAGATTCTGGTGTAGATGCTGGTGTAGATGCTGGTGTAGATGCTGGTGTAGGTGGGGATGCAGGTGCTGGTGCAGGTGCTTAAATTGTTTTTGCAGATGCAAATGCAGCTTCCGGTACTGGTGCATGCAGGTGCTGGTGCCAATTCCGGTGCAGGTGTTGGTGCATGTGCTGGTGCAGGAACAGGTGCGGGTACTGGTTCTAGAGCAGGTGGTGCATTTGCTTGTGCTAGTGTAAGCGGTGGTGCAGGTGCTGGTTCTAGTACTAGTGCAGCAAATGGTGGTGCAGGTGTTGGTTCTAGTACTAGTGCAGCAAATGGTGGTGCAGGTGTTGGTGCAGGTGTTGGTGCAGGTGCAGCTAGTAGTGCAGGTATTGGCGTTGGTGCTGATGCAGGTGGTTGGTGCAGGTGCTAGTGCAGGTGCTGATGCAGGTGGTTGGTCCAGGTGCTAGTGCAGGTGTTGTTGTAGGTGCTGGTATAGGCACAGATGCTGGTGCGTGTGGTGATTCAGTTGCTGGTGCAGGTGTTAGTGGAGTTGCAACTCAGATGTTCGAGTCTCTGGTCTTGACTCACATCTTGGCCACACACATGAAAATTCGTTTACGTATGCAAATGAGTTGAAGTTGTCACCACCCAACAAATGGGTTGTGGAACCAAGACTGGAAATATTCATGGGACGAATATGGCTCTGAGTTAATGCCAGTTTCTCAGTCTTTCTAGTTTGCACCATTTGTATTGTTCTTTCCATCATCATTCGAGGGAAAAAACAATGTGAAATTTCTTTGTTCACCCGTATATGTTATTTACATATTTACTCAAGGAATAAAATAACACAATACCATAACTAGAACAATGAGCTCATTACCCGCACATAGAAGACTGGAACTTTTGACGAGGTTTCGGGTCAACTTAAACCATTAACTAGGATAGTCGTTTTCTTCTGTCGGAGAAAATCTCAGTTCGTCTGACAAACTTTTAGCGGTGATTTATTAATGAATTATTTAGTTAAAATGAGAACGTCCAAAGTATGTCTTAAACAGATATTTTTTTTTGAACTTAAGTAACCGAGAGTTAGGTTTTCTCAGTAACTATAACAGTTTATATGACTGAGTTAGGGAATCTCGGTAACGTAAACAAGAACATAGTCATGTTAATGGGAGACGTTATCGACGCATCCTGCGTTAGACCTTATTACTTAGGTACTTTATGTGAAGGGATAAAACTATATTGGCCAATCGTCACAAGAAGTGGTCGAGGCTCACTCCTCCATTCGAGGATGCAGCGTCGACCTTGAGCCCATCCTCCAGAGCAAGAGGTCGGGTGTTGATATGTTGCTTTTTTTTTAACTATAGTGTAGGCACGCCTCTGGTAAGACAGTGATGGAGTGAATGATGATAAAAGTGTTTCTTCTTTATCTGGTCACCCTGTCTTGGTAGGGAACGGCGGATGTGTTAATAAAAAATAACCCCACATGGGTTTATATATACTATATCTATATATTATTGTAACCACGGACGAGTGTTATTGATCAATAACAACACTGCGCTGGCTAGCGCAGTGTTGTTATTGGTGCAAACAGGGTGAGAATGAATATATATATATAAATATATATATATATATATATATATATATATATATATATATATATTATATATATTATATATATATGTGTGTGTGTGTGTGTGTGTGTGTGTGTGTGTGTGTGTGTGTGTGTCTGTGTGTCTGTGTGTCGTGCCGAATAGGTAAAACTTGCGATTTTGGTTTAAATAACAACGCTCTTCTTGTGGAATAAGGCAATCGAAAATTTGTGTATGCAGTAATTTTGCAAAGATCATTCTGAATCTAACGACAAAAATATATTTCATCCAGTTTATTATTAAATTATTGTAAAACTTATCTAAAATATGTTTAGTTGGATTAGACTAAATTACATTGCGCTTGTTATAATAAGAATTATGTTTAAAGATTTCTTTTTCTTAGTCCAGCCTTGAGAGGCTGCATATCCTGAATGCACTCAAGAACTGGCTTGAGTTGCTGCTTTTCTTAATATGGACTCAATGGTTGATGCAGAAATGAACATAGTTCATAGTTTGAGTGGGCTTACATTTATGTATCTGCTGAAGATGATCCAAGAAGGGGATCAAAATTTAATTGATCAATTGATCTTGTGTGTTTCTGTCTTCATGTGGGTTATTGTCAAGTGTTCGTTACACCTCATTTCAGTTACATGAATAAACAGAAAGATGGAGGAGTGGCGCGAAGGTGGGTCGGTAAATTAACTATTCGATGTTCACCATGAGGCGAGCTAAAACAACACCGGTTTGATGCCCCAGCTAGTCGCAGTGTTGTTACTGATTATATATATATATATATATATATATATATATATATATATATATATATATATATATATATATATATATATATATTCTCCATGGGGAAGTGGAACAGAATTCTTCCTCTGTAAGCCATGCGTGTCGTAAGAGGCGACTAAAATGCCGGGAGCAAGGGGCTAGTAACCCCTTCTCCTGTATATATTACTAAATTTAAAAGGAGAAACTTCAGTTTTTTCTTTTGGGCCACCCCACCTCAGTGGGATACGGCTGGTACGTTGAAAGAAGAAGAATATATATATATATATATATATAATATATATATATATAATATATATATATATATATATATATATATATATATATATATATATATAATATATATATATATATAAATGCAACTATAATTACTGACGTAATCTAAGACTCGTTAATATTTTGGGTAAATACAAATATACAACATGATCTATGATAGGGGTCGGCAACCTTTCGGGGGAGAGAGAGAGAGAGAGAGAGAGAGAGAAAGCCAGACAGCTAAGCAGTCTCTCGGAGGAAGGCCGTATTATTAAATGCAATAAAAAAAAATTCTGGAACTCAGGGTTGCCATTAGCGTTTTAAACCAAATTTGACCTAATTTTAATACTAAATACAATTTATGCCAAATAATTAAATCAACATTATCGAATGCAGATACCTACTGTACAGTTTTTTTACCACCGGACAACAAACTCAGATCAAAAACTCTGAGGGAGGATACGAATAACTTTTCCAGGGACTGCTTAACCTTGAAGTGAATTATTGCTTCTTTATTCGATATTAATTAGATAATTAGTGTCCAGGTGTTAAGTTGGAGGGGCTGACGAAAACCTCACGCGGGCCGGATGTGGCCAGCGGGCCGGGATTGCCGACCCCTGATCTAATACAAAGTAATGTCTATGATAATTACACTGTTCACATACAAGATAAATTCTTAATTTTAAATGACGAAATACAATTTTGTATTGGAATTTTTCATAATTTTATACTTTCTTTAGTGCAATGGAACTAGAAGGATTCCTCCAGACAGTTGCTGATAAACCCGGCTATGGTTCTAGTATTCGACTACTTACTGGCGGTACTGATATTCTGATTAGTCTTGCCTGGTCCGTAGTCGTATCGAGGGGCCATGACCTCCGGAGCAATCTGCACTGACTCAACAGGTAAGTAGCTTTGAATGGGTTCTTAGATAAGGACTTCAGTTTTTAAATCAAAATAGATTTGATTCACGGTTAACATAAGCAGGATTTTCCATTTAAATGTTTTCGTATATATTTGATTTTTAAAATATATTTCAACAATTTAAGAAGTTGTATAGAAACATAATATAATGTATATGGTGGAGAAAATATCAAATGCCTTTTTACAAGCCCTGAATATACAGTCCATGCTTCACTTTCTTTCTGGACTCACTTCACCAACTTTCTCATTTTGAATTTATTGTTTCTAAATCCGAGTTAGTTGATCTTCAGGAAATTACTCCTATCCAGATACTCTAATACTCTCCTGCTCATCTCATCCATTATCTTACAAAGTATGTGTAAGTTTAATGCCTTCAATTTCCTTAAATGTTTGGAATACATTTTCTGTCTTCCAGATCTCTGACAAATGCCCGCATTCATTGACTCAGTGTAAATCTTAACTGAGGGTTTGGACAGTGCCTGGGATCCTTCCTGTAGAATCCAAGGCGACACTTTCCCATTCAGTTGCCTTTTATGTATCCAGTTTACTCAGAAGGTTCTCCATTTATTTCTCTGTTATGTACTTGGAGTCCAGTATCTGTTGCTGTAACTTTTTCTCCACGATTCTCTGTTGTTTCTCTTTTTTAAATCGTATTCTTTCAACTTCGCACTAACTTCCTCGCTGATTCTTGAAAGTTGACTGTCTTCTTTCTAGTGATGTGACCGAGTCGCTCTTGGTTTAGTTTTGGCTTTTGTTGCTTAATCATTCTCACACTGTCGTCCAGCTTTTCTTCTCAACCTTCCATATTCATTTTTGGCTCTTCTGCTTCCTTCAGTCCATTGCTTTCTCTGTTTTTCCATGCTTTTAAACCTCTAATTTTTTTATTTCTGCATCATTTCTTCAACCACCGGCTCTCTTTCCCTTCTTACTGTTGCCTCTTCTTCTGGGTACTTTGTTTTCCTCCGCCTCCCTCCACTTTCTGACAAGCTACTCTAGTATCTTACTAATTATATTTTATTCTAGTTACCTTTCCGATTATGCTTCAGGATTTTTTTCATCCCTACAACAGTTTCCTCTTCTATAAATATGATTTCTCCTTTCCTCCACCTGCTGTTCTTCCCTCAGGGTTGACTTTCACAAGTCATTTGATACTCTGTGCTATACGGTCGCTAGCGCCTCTCACCTTCTATGTCGCCTTCTTCAAATGTGCTTATGGTAAATACTAGAATCAGTAAGAGCTGGCTCGTCCTTCTTCTCTCTTGCTGTCTCCGTGGCTTGCTGAAGAAGAAAGTTTTCCATTACCACCTATAGCTTAGCTATTTATGTTTCTCATGTATGTGTGTGTGTGTGTGTGTGTGTACTCACCTAGTTGTGGTTGCAGGAGTCCATTCACAGCTCCTGGCCCGGCCATTTCACTGGCCGCTACTAGGTCACTCTTCCTTCTCCATGAGCTTTATCCTATCTCTTCTTAAAGCTACGTATTGATCCTGTCTCCACTACATCACTTCCCAGATTATTCAACTTCCTGGTAACTCTGTGACTGAAGAAATGCTTCCTAACATCCTTGTGATTTATCTGAGTCTTCAGCTTCAAACTGTGACCCCTTGTTGCTGTGTCCCATCTCTGGATCCTGTGTGTGTGTGTGTGTGTGTGTGTGTGTGTGTGTGTGTGTGTGTGTGTGTGTGTGTGTGTGTGTGTGTGTGTGTGTAAATAACAACCCCTAAGGCTGCGGACTCCTCATTTACTTCTGGCGTGAGAGTGGTCTAGTAGGAAAGTATATAAGAGCGAGATTAAGTGTTTGGATCTTGGAATGTCGACCAACAATATGAGCAAGTGTAATTAATATAATGTAGTGGTTGGCTACTTGGCTCCCACACACAAACACACACACACACTCTGGAAATTAGCAGATGAATTCATAATTACCATCACTGTCTAGAATCTTTGAGAAAACTGGTAATAATTACTCTCAAATATTTAAATAAAAAAATATTCTAAGGAAGCTTCTTTGGAAAAGTTTTAATTTCACATGAAGGAAATGAAATTAACGCTGCCGGCGGCTCAGGAAACATGAACATTAAACTTCACCTAGAATTAGGCTGTGTGATTATTGTGGCAACGCAAACTTTGCCAGCGAGTTTATTTACCTGACCCACCCGTCCTGTGGGGTAGAGTGGGACTCTACTATTTCAGAATTAAGAAGTATTTTCCAGACTTGCATTGTACACCGCACTCTTGCAGGCACAATGAGAGATCTGGACTGTAAAAGCAAATGAGGAATATTACTTATTTCTCATTTTAATTAGTTAATTGCTTGTCTGAGGTAAAAAGAGCACATGTGTAACAGAGTATTTGATTGAGGCTTCGCTTCGCTCTCCATCAGTTTTATCAAACTATATAAAGCTCTCTGAAACTGAGACTTAGTCTCAATAAAATGCCCAATAGTTGCACATGTGTAATTTTACCTAACATATTGTAGGTAATTCTAACAGCATTAATTGCTTGTGGTTCTCCTTGCGACTTGTTTGCTCTTTCACTCTCATATATGCAAATATTGTCCGAAAATTTTACGTTGTAATAAGTTCAACATTATTACAGAACTTGGCTGTCTAACCTAAGACTAGTTTCCCACTAAATTATTGCTTCCTCCATATACTAGTCACTCAGGAAAGCAAATAGGATTAAGAGTTATTATTTTTTATAAGCAGTTAACATATCTCATTTTTGGTTTGTTGTGTGTGAATTATATCTCAATATTGAGGGTTGAAATACATAATTCGTATCTCTACAGCACTTTTATTATCGTAATTATTAACATTATCTATAGATGTCAGCAACTTACTATTGAAGTGTTGAGTCGTGTACTGTGTTAGTCATTATTGGTAATATCAATGTGGTTTTTCTTAGCAGTGTAGAATTACATGAAATTATCGTTAAATTAATTACGGTCTCTACGCGATCCTATAATATCCCATTTGTATACACCCGAAAAAAGATAAGTGTAGATTGTAGCATAAGCCTATAATAAAGTTAAGCTAATTAGGCTAATAAGGACATACACTAAACTAATTCAAGCCTTCCACTAAGAAATAGCAGTTCTAAAGGCAAACTAATGAGGAGTTCTATCTCAGAGCGACCAAAATCCTAAAATACACCAGCACATTAAGTTTGAAGCCAGTTAGAATTTTTATTATTAAACAATCAGCGCCTCAGAGGTTAAGGCAATTAAACTGAGCGAAAACTAGTATTTAAATTTTGCCAAGGTCTTCAATAAAAAAAATTGCAATTTGAGATCAAGAGGAAAAAATTAATCCAGCCTTATCTCTAAGTAAGATTTGCCAGGGTTTAAGGTTCAAGCAAGTTAATATGCTTATAAGTAAGAAATAAATGAGATCTATAAAACGAACTTTAATTTATCAGAAGAGATATTTTCCAGTCATATCAGAAAAATCAGTTTAATAAATTTGGCAAATTTAAACCTACACTATCTAAAAATCAAGGCAAGACCTTCACTGAGAAAAACACATCAACTGTATAAGTAGCAACACCAACGATCTTATATGGCGGATAAACGAGCGTACAAATTTTGAAACCAATGAGAGGAGGTTTTCTCCATTTATCACACCAGGGAGGAAGTTACTGTCTACCACTCAAGTCTGTAACTGTTTTACACATTTCCGGTAATGCTGATGTCTTTTCTTTTTGTCTCAAACACGTAAGATAACGGGCACACCTTGCTAATTCTACTTACATCAAGTTCATTCTACACATACAGTTGTGCATGTACATGAATGCTCAGTAATAACCAACATGGAAACAAACTCAGAAGACGAATTTGTCTATAAATTTTAACCCCCTTCTGGGGTCTTCTTCAGCAGATACAAAAAATGGAAGAACATGAATACATAAGAAAGTTGCGCCTCTCAGCAGTGCAGGTGAGTATAGAGAGTCAGGTTAGCACATGGGAAAACGGGTCAAGGAGCAAGTGGGTGTTGTATGTCAGGTCTAGAAACTGGTGACTGAGACCAAACTTAAAATTTGGGCAAAGTTTCTCTGTACTATATAATTCCTGCTCTATTGCTTTCGTTCTATACTAGGTTAGGTGTTGGTAAGTACTTAAGGGCGAATTTTGAATTAACGCTTCCTTTCCGTTGTTCCTGTGAAATATTAAAATTTGGTGTGATAGCTGCGAAGGCAGATTCTATAATTTTGTATTTGTACCTGCAATGTGATTAATTAGGAAGCTGCTGCCATCAAACAAATCACACTGCGGCTACAACCGTAAACTCACAGAATCTCTCATAGCTACAACGCCGAATTTTAGTATCTCAAAAGGACAGCGAATGGATTGACTGGTGGAATAACGAGGTAAAGAGGGAGGTGAGGGAGAAAAGTTGTAGTGATTGGTGGAATGACGAGATAGAGAGAGCGGTGAGGGAGAAAAAGTTGGCATATGAAAGATTTTTAGAATATAGAGCTTATGTACTGAGGGAGTAGTATACGGGAAATAAAAAACATAATTATAAGAATGGTGAGGGAGTGTAATAAGAGAGCGAGAGAGGTTTTTAATAGATTATACTGAGAATAAGAAAAATATGGGGGAGATAGAGGTAACGAGAAGATAGAGGGAATAATTGAAGTATTATTAAATATTAATGAAAAAGGGTGGAAGGGATTTCTTGCATTACGAAGATATAACACTTTTTACGAGTGAGTAAAGTGCCAAATGTGAGTGTGGGGGAGGTGCTTGAAACAGTGGATAGAATTAAAGGCGATAAAGCAGCTGAGTAAGATGGAATTAGGCCAGAAATGTTGAAAGCTGGTGAGTAAATAAGTTTACTCAGGTATACACAAATACAGTTACATAGATTATCATACATAGCAGCATATGTGTAAAGTACCTAGGATAACCCAAAAAAGTCAGACAGAGTGACTTATTTCCATTGGGGTGGATGGTGAAAATACTCATTGTATGCATGAA